CGTGTGTGTGTGTGTGTGTGTGTGTGTGTGTGTGTGTGTGTTTGTGTGTGTGTCTAAAGACAATACTTTGTATATACCACAGATGCCATCCAGTGTGTTGACTCTACACCAGTGCATTTTCCATTGACCACAGAGGAGTTGTTTCTACAGCTAGACAGCAGCACGACAAGGTAGGTGTCTCTGTACACGCGTACAATAGGAAAAGCAAAGGAGAAGAAAACTTACTGTCTGTCTAGTAAATAGGTTATAAATAGTACTAGTTATAAACGCTTTCCTGGCTGCTAGTATTATGTACAATTCCTGGCTTTTGGGGGAAAGACCATGAATGATTAGCACATGTAGTTACCTTGTTTTTTTCAGTGTCCCCAGATGCAAATGGGTACTTGGCAATCTGGAGAGACTAGAAGAAAAGTGGAGGATAGCGATATTAGTCCGAGTCTGGTTTAGCACCAAAAAAAACAACAACTTTTGTTTCCATGGTGACTTGTTTCGATTGAAAAATGTTGCATCAAGTGATATGAGTCAAAGTGAGAAAGCTGTTTGTTGTTCGGTGGTTCGTGAAGGTGTCGAACTGCAGACATACAGATAAATGTACAAGATAATCATAGCCGGGTTTACTTTTTTTTAAACAGAGCTCGAGAGCCCCAACTCTTTAAAAAATTAAAAATGTAATTTGGATTTCGTATCGTACATATTCGTGTACTCAATCTGTTGTACTTCTTTTTTAATCTGACTACAAAAGAGACTAAATCTGATGACTGGGGTTTTAGAGCAGAAGTGACTTTGAAAAGGTTCTCAGTAGTTTCGTTCTGTCTCAAGGTGCAGCCTTCAGTTCACCACCGACTCCCCGGACAAGACTGTTGACCTCAGTTTTGTCCCTGTGCTGTATGACGCGTCCTTTCTCAACGTGACGGAGTTTACTCTTGAACTTTTGGATGGTGAGTCGGTGATATAATTATAGAAGGATTAATATCACTCGCTGTCTGTCTGTCTGTCTGTCTGTCTGTCTGTCTGTCTGTCTGTCTGTCTGTCTG